AGCGGCGGGGTTTGAACGCTGGATTATTGCCGATACGGTATTCCAGGACGTGTGATTGTCCAGGATGGATCCGCGCAACCTGAAGGTTATGACGGTGTGATTTATTTGATCCAATTGATGACCATCTACAGGACGCCAAGTGACACTTCGTTGCCCAATTTGGTTAGGTCTTGGTGTGAAGAAACAGTCGATTCCCGGTGCACAGACGGTCACTATTATGTGTCCGGTCAGCGTTAGACTCACACTTGCCGGGTAGCCGCGCTACTTGGGGGCTCAAGTAACTTACCTACATATCCCCTGCAGCTAAAGCGATATCTGACCTGGTACACTGCGAAACAGCTTGTTGAGTTTGTAGTAGAGAGCGTCCATTGTAGCTTCTTAATTACAGTCGGTGGGGGCCCAAGCAGCAACCACAAGCATTGTGCAGTGCTGCTTGGTGAATCAAATTTACTTGGGGTTGTCAGCCGGGCACTACAATGCCGGTCGTTCACGAGAATCCTGTAAACTAACTGTGATTCGGTAGTGGAGCTAAGAACGATGCGCACTCTGGTGTGACTTGTGATGACCTCATCAGCGCGTTACAATGCATGTAGTCAATTACGAGAAGACAAGCCGAGAGCACAACCGCGTATGGGTCGTTGATCATTGTTTCGGACATGAAACAGACGTCGATATCCAGTGTTTACAACGCGCGTGCTAGCGCAGTCAATTAACCTACCTGTCTTACGGGACGAAGGTTGCACAGCACCTTGGAAGCAAATCATTGTGCCTTTATTAGGAGCTGTTTATGATGAGCGTCCCATGGTAATGAGGGAAGACAGCTGCATATTGTAGAACTCCAGTGGTATTGCAGCTGCTATCAATTAAGCTTGAAATTGGATAAGGAAGGTTAGTAACAGGGTCTGGAGGTGAGCAAGAGAAACAGGTTGAAACGAGTAAAGGGAAGTGTTAGCAGTAGCATATTTTCACTTATTCGCCCTGCCGTATACAGCAGAAAGGCGTAGTTTAAAGCTGTCTGGTGACTGATGCAGAGTATGATTGAAGTTTGATGAAATGATTATGGCAGTACGTTGGCTTGGATACCTTAATACGAATCAAACGTAGGCAAGGAAACTGTTAGGATCATAAACGAAATCCTCTGGGTCAAATGTCTAACAGTATGGTTGTGGGAAGATGATACTGCTCCGATTTTAGGAAAATGGACATCACCCCATCCCAACCCCCAGCCAGGAGGGCCAATAAATTCTTTTCTTAGTACTTCTAACCATTGAACATCCTCGTAACTGTGGCTCTCAAGGATTCTAATGACATTACCCAGTATAGTTCAATGGGTAGCTGAGGTTCGTAAACCCTCGCGCCACCTTGAAGTCTGGTCTGGTTTCCTCTGCTCCGAATATCAGGCTGATTCCCAAATTAAGAGGTGTGACATACGAAGACCGGTGTAAAAAATTAGGGCTGCACACCCTAGCTTATCTTCGAATGCGGGTTGACCACATCACGACGCACCGGATATTACATCTGGGAGATTACCCCATGTTGAGATCGCTGCTTCCTTTGCGCACACCAGGGAGCACACGTGGACACCGGTACAAGCTTGTCTTAGCGGATTTGAAGCTGGTCGCTAACTAACTTTGTTTCTAACGCACAGTGGTGAATGTTTGGCACGGCCCACCGCAACACGTAGTTGAGGCAAAGTCGGTGTCGGAATTTAAGAAGTTCCTTGACAAACACTTTGCCGACGCAAAAATATATTGAGCGCAACACAACATAACTGGCCTTTGTCCCTGAGTGACATTAAATGCAGCTACACAGAGCAAACTACTTGCCGCTTCCAACCAGTAATCAGTAGGTTTGTTTGGTTTGCCATTTCATTTAACACGAGTGACTCATGAGAAGTGGTATCAGCAGTACCGATGCTTCGCTGCCGCGCAACCACCGACGGTGGTGTGTGGACAAGGGACACTGCGAGGGTCGCCCGGTCCCTTAGGCAAGCTCGAACCCGGCCCTCTGATTACAAGGTAGGCTTGTTAACCTTAAGGCTACTGGCTGGTGCATGAGAAGTGGGCTTTATCTTTATGCATTAATCTGCGTTTCCCGTACTCTGGATGCATCTAGCTGTTGCCCCCCCCAGCTTATGAGTTTCGAAAAAGACAGGCATTATAACGGAGTCGCAGGTATACTCACTTTCATAGCTTTAGTTCGTGTCATAGTGAAGAGAAGCAGGAATACGATAGGACACGAGCATCTTGCTTATAAATACGTTAATACGCACACCGATTATATGGTGATAAGCATAACCGTGCAGTACAAAGTCGGAGAGTGCAGTTCTCCAAAGTTCACCGCTGCAGCATCATTCATAAATCAGTCCCTTCGCCCTTAACCTACTATATCTTTTAACTTCCTCCCTAAGGATATCATGATCCTCCAAACATCACTCCTGGCAGTCCTTAACGCTAACAAATTGCATCCAACGGGCACAAACGCTCTTGAAAATGCTTACTGTTCGTTGAATGACCAATCCCAAATCAGACGATAGTGTAACACAGTGAGATACCATTGGCTGCTTTGGGATTGGTCACTCAATGGACAGTGGTGTTTAGGGGTGTTCGCGCCCGATGAATGCAGTTTGAGAGCGTTGAGTGCCATCTCGTGAGATCTATGGCGGAACATAACGTCCTTAAGGAATTTGAAAGCCTACAACAACAATAACAACAACGGCAGCAGCGGCAACAACAAACACAACAACAATGACAACGGAGAAACGGATTGTTCTGCCTTATATGAAGAACATATCGGAAATGGCAGCCAGACTATTCAAACAGCATCATCTCATTGTGGCACACAAACCAACTGCCACGTTGAGAAAAACCCTTTTAAAACCAAAAGAAAAACTGCAGGCACATGAACAACGCAATGTGGTATACAAAATACCTTGCCGAGATTGAAAAAGGGATTATGTTGGCCAGACAGGAAGAAAATTGGTAACAAGGATCCAAGAACATAAGAGAGCCTGTGTAAAGCAATATGCATCGTAGCTAGTTTCATTGCATGTAGATGAAGAAGGACATAGCTTCGATTGGAGCAAAGCAGAAGTCCTGACAAGGGGTGAAACAAGAAAAGAAAGAGAATTCTTGGAAGCTTGGTTCTGAACGAAACATTCAATCAGCATGCGCGTGGACATCGATTCAATGTACGAACCACTACGACAGAAAGAAATAAAGAACATTTTGTCAAGCGGTTTAAAGAAGAACAACTCGGGTGCCGACTTTAGCCTTGGAGAAAGTGGGTAGAGGTCACGGGACCCAAATCGACACTGCCACGTGCAAAGTCACCTGCAGGTCGATCATGGATGGAGGATTCATTTAGTAAGCTTGCACGCTACATATCACTGCACTGAGGATGCCACCTCGCATGGTGGTGAAACGTTTGCGAGAAAACCGCCAAGCTCGGAGAACAAATGAACAATTAATTTGAAAGCACTATGGATGCCATTGTCTGAGAAAGCGTTGGGTCATTTTTTAAGTGTCCACAAAGCCCTGTTCTTATCAGTATTTTCGCTTATGATAGTTCTAGCGAATAGCTATGATAAAAACATTTGTGGCTCGTCAATGTGTACCATGTGCCTTATTCGAGGCTTCTTATGCGTTACAATTAGCTTAAGTTCCTGAATCACGAAACAATCTGCATCCATTACCTAACTGGTTGTTACATTTAACCCAGTCCTTAAGAGTGCATCCAAACTTCAGGAAGAGTGTTGGCCTGGGGGACGAAAACTATTTGCACTCTCCTAATCACTTGGGAGCTGCGCATAGTTGTGTTTTCAAGATTAGTGTGATTTAAAATTTAGGTGGACTTGGTGGCAATCGAACTGGTCCTGGAGTTTACTTGATTTCGTGTTGTAAGCGGTTGATTATGTTAATGTCATGCTGGGCTTGGAAACGTCTATGCCTTTGTGCAAGATTCTGAAAAATATGGCTGAGTTGTACCTCATGTGCGTAGCCAGAGCTTAGTAGCTCTTTCACTATATACCAGTTTTGCAGAAGCATCTTGAGGGCGTTTTGTAAATGGTCTCTGTACTCGTTCCAATGCAGTGCGATCGCGCTTTTTGAGCAGCAGTACACCACTGCGCAACGTACCAAAGTGGGTCGAGCAACAGAAATACAAGAATGAAATACTGACTTTTGGAGAAAAAGCCTTAAATACCAATCCAATTCCATGCCTTGCTCCCGCAGTACCGTGACCTACTTGTTCATAGAAGTCAAGCAGGCGTGAATATCGCAACCTGCATTTTGTCTTTCTGTCACATAACCCTAGGACAGCATCATCGGTTTGTGGTGTGGTCCACAGTAGTGTTGACGTTCTAAACCAACCATCGACTTATGTATGCGCCTTCTTGATGAGGCTTGTTTAGACAAAGATCGATCGACCCCGGTTGAGCAACCCCTTCATCTTGTTTGTCTACTACACTGAATCTGCTTTCATTGCTAGGTCATTACTCTACAATTCTCACAACCATCAACTGCTCAGCCTGGCCAGGTTTTCACATGGGCTATCGGTGACTCATTTCTGATCGAAGACATCGACAGCCCGTTAGATGCCAATGGTTGGTAGTAATCCGACAACTTAACCAACAAATTATGCCCGGTAAATCACGTACTTGTCTTTCATTGGCTCCAAATCCAATCTACCACAACTGAGGCTACATGGTTTCTTCAATTATGCAACAATTTCCCTAAGTAAGCAAGTTTTACGCCTGAAAGTTGCTAGGTTTGTCAGCACTCAGCTGATTACCTCATCTCTGTGACTCATCGGTGCGAGAACTCGGTTGTAGCCTCGGAATTTTTTAGTCCATTACGCGACACTAATGCCCCAGACATCAGGCGTCAACTAAAGGGATTGAGGCGACTATATTAGGTCCGCTTCCCCCACCTACAGCATTGTGCTTAATATCCAGTATACACTAACCCTCACCTTACGTCCTCTTCTCCGTTCATTTACAGAGCATGAAGGTTGATTCAGACAACGAGGATGATATCGAAGCGTAAGTATTGTGATTTGGAGAGATTAATCCCACTGTACGCATAGTAACCTGCTTCGGCCTGCCGGTGTGCAACTACGGCCGGCAATGTTCACTTTACGCATCTATAACGCAGAAGATTTGCCAAGAAGTGAGTGCTCCAGAGGGTTTACTTCCCATTTTATTAACTGCATCTTTTCACCTTGCACATTTTCAAATGGCCGTTGCTTTGATCGACCTCGCTGGTGTTTGCTCAGCATCTATCGCAAACACACATTGATTACTATCAATGTTGCTTTTGAGATGTTAAGCAAATTTAATAACGGTGAGGAGTCGCTGGGTTTTTCAAAACTTCATGAGCTCTGCACGGTTCACATGTCTGAAACTGTGTAACGCCATCAAAATCCGGTATTTTTCAGTTCCGATCCCATCTCGCTTTGATAGAAATAAAGTTGTTGGGAACGCAAAGTAATGCAGACGAATTGTGTAATTATATATATATATATATATATATATATATATAGCGACAGTCTATAAGATGGACATTGAGCCATTCCAAACCATGGAGATTTAAATAGGAATAACAATGTACAATGATAGCAAAAGTTAATGAAGAATCAATAAGAACTTCTTTTTGTCTCTTTCATACGTCGTTTTTTCACTTTTTTCATTTATAGAGTTATTACTTTTGGAATCGGGCGTTCACGCATACTTGCGTGCAGCCGGTTTTGTGCCATTGTGGCGAGTGTGGTAAGCCATCGGCATTCTTCATCTTTCGGGAAACCGTACCGGACCTACAATTGATAGACAGGATGTGAGCCATTTGATGTTTTGACGCCGGATGATCGGCCCTCCACCACACGGCATCTACCAATGCGGCCCTGTACGCGTGACAATCGCTCGTCAGGCATGCGCAGGGCATGGCCAAACCATCGCAACTGGCGCAATGGGACAATGTCATGGAGCGGCAGATTCGTTTTGCCAAAGACGCATTGTCTGGTATCATCATTGCGCACCCGATGTTGCCACCATACACTGGCGATCCTTCGCAGACAGCCGTTGTCGCAGGCCGAAATCATACGCATGTTGTCTAATCGAATCGGCCACGCTTCGCATCCATACAAACGCATCGAGCGAACACAAGCAGTGTAAACCCTACCTTTTAGCAAAAGCGAGATATCGCGACGATTCCACAGGTGTTTTAAATTAGCAAAAGCCAAGCGAACTTTAGCCATGCGGAGAGACACCTCTTCTTTAATGGTTCCGTCTGTAGAGGTACTGCTCCCAAGGTAGACAAAACTATCCACCTGCTCAAGCCAAATGTTTTCGATGGTGAGCTGAGGAAGAGCAGTTTGCCAATCCTGTGTCAGCACTTTGCACTTTGAGGGTGCAAAGCACATACCATACTTGGACGCTTCAATCACCAGTCGGTCAAGGATCAGTTACATTCTGTGAGGGTCGCCACCGAGCAAGGCGATCTCATCAGCGTAATCTAAGTCCGATGCACGATTAGATGGAAGGAGCTCAATTCCAGAATTCTGAATGACTTCCAGAGCTCCCAACGGAACATCTTCGAGCACCAAGTTCAAAAGAAAAGGAGACATAGGGGATCCTTGCCGAACACCACTGGTGTCAAGAAAGAGTGCGGAGAGCTTGCCGTAGGCTCTTACTCTGTCTGAGATGTGGAGGTATAACGCCCGAAGGACAGCGACGTACTTTTCAGGGACTCCGTTCTTTAGTAGGCAATGCCTTAAGGCAGGTCGGTTTGCAGAGTTAAATGCAGCCCGAATGTCCAGGAAGAAGACGATGGTGGGTCTGCGGTATATGCCGTGATGTTCAAGGAGCTGACGAAGCGTGGAAATATGATCAACTTAACCACTACCGGGACGGAAACCATCCGTCTCCTCCTGATAGTGCGCCTCGCGAGTTGCCGACAGCCTGCACAACATGATGGATACCAGCGCTTTGGAGGCAACTGGTACCAGGCTGATACCTCTGTGCTTGGCACATGAAGTCCTGGAGCCTTTCTTGAAGACTGGGACAATAAGTAACTCTCCCCATGAAGTGGGGGATCTTTCTTCACTCAGACCTTCATAAATAGGGATGTTAGCTGGGCGACAATTTTCCTACCACCATATTTGAACAGCTCCGTAGGAGGTGCGTCGGAACCAGTAGCCTTAAAGCACTTCAAGTGTCTAATCTCAAAGCGAACTTCGGCTTCATTGGGCGGTTCGAGTGACACGGCCAATGGCGCACTGCGGGGCGAGCTAAGTACGAAAGTGGAATACGGGAAGAACTGAAATGAAATTGGAATTGCTCAGCCCATCTACCCATACACCTCCGCAAGATGGTGATTTCTGACCCAGCCACCTCACACATAATTTCACTGACACCAGACTTTTGTGACTGCTAGACCGAATATTCTGAAACAATCTGCGAGTATTTCAGAAAGAACGGTGATTTCCATCTCCAAGGCGCGTTGAGACCACAAGCTTCGCGATCACCGCAAAGGCCCCGTTTAAGTTGGCGGTTGATGGCGCGGCGAAGTTCATTGTGATCGGAGTTTGAAGGTGGTCGAACAGGTCAGGAAGCGCGTGGAGATCCAACTCTTTGAGGGGGCGATAAGTGTATCTACAGGCTGATTGGCCAGAAGATAACATCACATTCTGCAAGTAGTTCCAATGTAGATCGACGTCAGTGGGAAGAGCACAAGGCTTTTCCAATGGCAATTGCTAGTTCAGCTGGGTGGACCGATCGGCTGCTAACTTATTCGTGTCAAGCTTCCAATGCTTCCGTTTGGGACGACCTCCAAAGCGCATGCACAATTTCGCAAAAACCAGTGCGTGATCAGAATCAAGGTAATTAGTCCAAAATGATCTGCAGTCCTGTTTGCTACCTCGCCACCTAGAACCGATTACAATGTAATCTATTTGAGACCAGTCCTGAAATAGTGAAGGAGGATGCCATTTGGCAGAACCCCTCCTCGAGTTTCTGAAGTTGGCGCTTGCGAGAAATAACCCATTGTCTTCACACAAATTAAGAAGCCTGGTGTCGTTATCGGAGCGATTCTCATACAGTGCGGGATATACACCTAGGTGAAATTCACCTGGCGGCAGGCGACCGAAGAGTGGATTGAAGTCCCCGGCTAGGACGACGACATCCGATTTGGTTTTAATAGAGACCCCATGTCTAGATATCATAATAGAACATACAAAGTCGGGTCCACTTACGCACCTCATTCGTGGTACCTTTCTGACACACTGTTCCGCTAAAATTTTCATTCGCAACGTATCGGTGGAGGCTGATTTGTGCTCCTCTGTCGGCGGTTATCCATGATTTCTCTACTTTCCCCACGTCTGCTCGTTTCTACACATGTTACTCATGAGTAGTGCAGCACACAACGAATCCAAATACTCAGCAACACGAGAAAAGCTCGTTCTGCGATGCCACAATCACCATCCCTCCTATCCCACTCACTTTCATGGCTCCATGGATCGCTTCACTCCTCCTTGCTCTCACACGGCGACAATTTTTGGCCTGTCTTGTACGCGAGCTTTCCCGTTGGTCGGTTCCTCCTTGGCTCTGATTGCGCGTTGTGTCCCAGCACTCTTTCCAGCGGACTAAGATTGTGTGAACGTCTTTAAAAATACTCGTCTTCATTGACTAACACAGTTCATAGGTAGTGCACTACACCCATCAGGAACACGCATTGTCTCAGTAGCTCCGAAAACTTGACACTCGTCTGCTGGGTAAGACGAGCCAGTGGCGTCCAGCTTTTGCAAGTTGGCTGTCGCTGTGAGCGGTCAGGCTAACACGGTTTGGAGCTTAGTCAGTAGTTATTTAAGTCAGATGCGTCGGTTGCTCACCATGTTCCCTCACACTGTGATTACAAGTGCCGAAGTTAACACAAATATCTGGGGATGTAGATTGTCGGGTTTTGGAGTAACCGCCATGTGTTTTGGATTGCGACACGCAATCTCAATTGTGGCCACGGTCGACTTCGAAGTCAGCCTCTGCCATTCAACTCACTGGGACCATATCCGAAGTGGAGGGCCTAATCTGGTGACGTAGTGGCAACAGTCGAATTGCGGGTTCGAGCTCTACCAGTGTCCAATGGAATGCGCACTGCTGACGATTCCCGAAAGGACGAAACGCGCGTACAGTGCTTTTCCGGGCGTGTGATGGCTGTCTGAGTGAGTCTAGATATGACGAATTTCTACCTATACCATTTCACTCCCCCTACCACTCCACTGTAATCAGTACGCAGACCAAACTACTTATAATGTTGTAAGTTAATTGGCGGCTTAAGTTTGGAAGTTCGTCGCTTGGTGAGAGGTGGCTACCCTGTCCTCTACACGACAGTAACGTGCAAGTTAGTGGATCGTGAGCGGCGCTATATCACATCTAGTAACTTATTCGCGATGGTCGTTGCCGTCCGCCGTAGCTCAGTGGTCTCAACCACGGACGGGCAACAGTAGAGTTGCGAGTTCGAGCCCTACGAGGGTCCGATGGAATGCACACTGCTGACGATTCCCGGAAGGATGAAACGCGTACAGTGCTTTTCCGGGCGTGTGATGGCTGTTTACGTGGTTGGAGATTTGACGAGTTTCTACCTATACCATTCAACTCCCCCTACTACTCCTCTGTGTCATACTTTTATGGTTGTGCTTGTCGTTATGGCCTGCTTTACCCCAACGACAACTTTAATTGGTTTGAGGCATCCTTTCCGGGTCTGTAATTCGTTGCGTCATCGCCGTGACTTATTCCACCCAGCACGACGAGCGGGAACAAGCTGGCTGCGCCCACAGACAGACCATTGATGGCTTGCACTGCACCACCCACATCCAGCGTAAACCAGATTTAGGCCGGAATTCAGGCAGATGAAAGTCACGATCGATGCGAAGCTGGCCCGCGCTCCCTTATCGTAAACACATACACACTCATCACTGATGATAACAAACAAAACGAACAGCACAAAGAAGGAGGGAACTGGGCTGTAGCTCATTCCACAATGGATGGAACCATTATTTAAGGTTTGCACTGTCACGAGGACTGTGCAGCCTGCCTGCCCCAGCCACCATTAATCGATTTGGTGGCACTCAACCGCTGGTCACTTCATCAACATTCGAATCAAGTGCAGTTGAATGTGGG